AACCCCCCCCCCCCCCCCCCCCCGCCCAACAAAAAAAATATATATATATATATTCTCTCTCTGTTACTTCTATTCTGAATCCATGCTTATATAAACATAATCCACAGGTAATTTCAAATGTTATGCATTTCTATTTTTTGGAGTAACTGGATACTCTGTGTTTTCATTAGTTTTCTCTCTATTATAAAAAATAGAGAGATGGCAGTAAGTACAATGAATGATAGACATTGCAACATAAAATAGAAGATTTCATTCCTAATGAGGGAAATTATATTACTAATGGTTGAGATTTTACATGGCGACCATTCAGAAGTATGCACTTACATTAGTCATGAACCTTTAAAGACAAAAAACAAAAAATAGTTGCGCTTCCAACCAACATGAAACCAAAAATTGCAATTTCATGCCAAGACATGAAACTGCACAAGATCCAAAGACTGGCATTGAAGAGTAAGTCTGGGATTGTGTAAAAAGGGTGTTCAAATATGGATTCCCCTAAAAAATTATGACTCACAAAGCTTATTGCGAACTAAATGCATCACGAGCACTTTAGACGAGGAAAAAAGATGGCCAGGACAACCAGATAAAATATAATTTTTCTAGAGACAGCTTGTATTGCTTATTTTTTGAGCTTAGCAAGTGCTTATAAGCACTTAAAAGTACTCTGATAAAATTCCAGAGATGTATTTGTGTATTGTAGCTATTGCATTGAATTGCAAACTTTTTTTTGATAGGTAATCAGAGAATTTTATTCTTTAAAAGAGAGTACACGGGAGGTATACGATCACTTTAAGCATGAAAGGAACAACAAGAAATTAGGCAACTCTACAACAGGATTTTTAGCCACTACATTAAATCAAGTATACAAAGTCAAGTAAAATAATTCTTTTATCTGCTCTGTTGTCTTTGTTTGGTTTTCGAAACATCGATCGTTCCGTTCTCTCCATATGCACCATACAATGCATCCCGGAATAAGATTCCAGAGAAGTTTGCTATCCTTATCGCGAAATTTTCTTCTCCATGCCCGCACCCCGTCTTCTATAAGCCTAGGTAGCACCAAATCCATTGATTGAGAAGCCAGAATACTGTTTCAAAGCCAACGTACACCATCACAATGAATGAATAAATGATCAATCGTCTCTCCATCCTTCTTGCACATAAAGCACCACTCGGTTACATAAAATCCTTTTCGTCGAAGATTATCCACCGTTGACACCTGCCCCCTCATAACTGTCCACAATAGAAATGCTGCCCGTGGAGGCAATTTACTTTGCCACACCATCTTCCAAGGTAATGAACTCTCCACAAATTCCAAAAGGGATTGAAAATATGAGCGGACTGAAAAAATACCATCTCGAGCTAACCTCCACCTGCTACAATCACCCTCTCCTACCCGAATTTGTATCTCATGCAGAGCGGTCAAAAACAACGAATAATCTTCCAATTCCCAATCCTGTAAACCCCTCCCAAAAGTAATATTCCAACTATAACCCCCATTATGGATGTCAAGTACATCACCCACCATAGCAACAGGCTCCAACGCAATGCGGTACAATGAGGGAAATCCCTCCTTTAACGGTTGATCGCCACACCAACTATCATCCCAAAATCTAATATCAGTGCCATTTCCCATTACAAAATTTAGTTTGTCCCTAAAATCACTCCATCCCCGTTGGATATACCTCCACAAACTCACCCTATAGGAGCTACGACCCTCAACCGTACACCAACCCCCCTCCATCACACCATACTTTGCCCCAATGATTTCTCTCCAAAAGCTCTCCCTCTCCACTCCAAATCGCCACAACCACTTGCCCAATAAAGCCTTATTAAACAAAACAAGGCTCCTCACTCCAAGCCCCCCATCCTCATAGGCAAACAAATAGTACCCCAATTAACCAAATGCATTTTCCTCTCCTCCCCTAACCCTGCCCACAAGAATTCTCTTTGAAATCTCTCTAATCTATTTGCCACTGCAACCAGAATAGGAAACAATGACAAAAAGTAAGTGGGGGAAACAATGACAAAAAGTAAGTGGGGAGATTTAAGAGAGTGGATTTAATAAGGGTAAGTCGGCCTCCCTTAGAAAGATACATACGCTTCCACCCCGCTAACCTCCTCTCCATTCTTTCCATAATATCATTCCAGATATGTGTATTTTTAAACCGTGCCCCTAGTGGAAGGCCTAAATATAACATGGGCAATTGTGCAATCCAACATCCCAATATGCCAGCCAACTCCTCCACGTTAGATACCTCCCCAACCGGAATAACCTCAGATTTTCCCAAATTGATTTTTAATCCAGACACCGCTTCAAAACATAGGAGCAAACGACGCAGGTTCCTGAATTGTTCATCATCCGCATCACATAAGATCAACGTGTCATCAGCAAATAGCAAATGAGACACCTGCAATTGGCCAAACCTAAAGCCCCTTACCAAACCCTCTCCCACAGTTCTTTCAAACATCCTACTGAAAGCCTCCATCACAATAACAAAAAGCAATGGGGATAGTGGATCTCCTTGCTACAATCCTCTACTACGAAAATAACCCTCCGGCGTTCCGTTGACCATAACTGAGAACGAAACAGTAGAAATACAGAACTGAATCAATTTACACCACTTATCCCCGAAGCCGCACCTCCTAAGCATATATAGCAGGAACCCCCAGTTCACATGATCATATGCCTTCTGAATATCGAGCTTACATAGCATCCCGGGAATTCCCAAACGCAATCTTGAATCAATGCATTCATTTGCTATAAGCACAGAGTTCAAAATCTGGCGACCTTTTACGAAAGCATTCTGAAATTTGGACACTACTTTCCCGAGCACCTCCTTTAATCTATTCGCCAAGACTTTCGCAATAATCTTATACACCCCACAGATTAGGCTAATAGGGCGAAAGTCCTTAATGTTGGTCGCTCCCGATTTCTTAGGGATCAGGACAACAAATGTAGCATTAGAACTTTTCTGGAACCTGCCACGTTCAAAAAAATATGTAAACATATCCAAAATTTCCGATCACACCTCCCAACAAGCCTTGTAAAATGAGAACGAGAAACCGTTCGGTCCAGGGGCCTTATCCTCGTTCATGCTAAACACTACCTCCTTGATTTCATCCTCCTCAGAAGGCCGCTCTAACCACCCGGCATCATCCTCCGTGATAGTAGAAAAATCCAATCCTTCCAACTCTGGCCTCCACTCAAACTGCTCCTGATATAGATTCTGATAGAAATTCACCAATTGGTTTCCAATTTCGAGTGGTTCTTCATAAGTTATCCCATCCACTTCCAACACTGTGATCGAGTTTTTGCGCCTATTAGAATTAGCGATCCTATGAAAAAACTTAGTACATTTATCTCCTTCTTTCAACCAATTGACCCTAGATTTCTGACTGAATGAAAGAAAATTATAGATAGTTGACCAGCTTTCAAGAGGCTGCCTCTCTCCTCCATTAATACCCTATTCCTGCCTAAAATGAAATGAACACCCCACCCACTATATATAGTTAGAAGCCCGTACAATTATTCTACTAAATCCCTATTATATCCCTCCCCTACTTTAACTAAATGGAAATATTCGAGTGCTTCTTTTGGGACCTAGTATACTCCCTTGGCATCGAGAACAGGTAGAATTTTTTTTTTAAAAATTGAACTATCGAAAATGGTTCATATGCACAATACACATGGCAGGAAGTTAACAATCACTTCAACAGCGAAATGATCAACTTAGTAATTTAATTGATGCTAAATTAGTTTTGGAGAAGGAACATCAACAGTTCAACTTGAGTTTGTAATTAGCATGAGTAACTCATCAATGGTAAAAATTCTTTATAAGCACTTAATACGTATGAGCAATGGCAAAGATCAAGCTTGGAGCTTATCAAAGAATAACAGATTATCTATGAGCATCTTGACATGAACCTTTGCATACTATTGTTAGCATCCAAAAATCTTTAGATACCTCACACGTGTATCTAGCAAATGAATTTCAGAAATAAGACATTATTTCAGTTTACAAACTTGAGTATGGCAAAGATGGCCTTGAGCAACTGATGCAGAGCATGACTTGAACATGAGGGTTTGGCCTGGTTCGTAAGGGGTACTTCGAAATAAAAGCCCATAGGAATAGTGCTTAGGGTGGATCACCGGTCCTCATTTTAGGTGATAAAGGATTTGATTTCGCCTCTCCCACTATATGTTACTTTCGGGAATAATAGTTGCATCTCCCTACATCAAAAAGTGGAGGTCTTGTGTTCTACCTTCCAAGGAAGGGAGCATCACTTGACCATGAGGGTGGGACTATTTGTAAAGGATACTCCAAAGTAAAACTGATGGAGATTAAGATAGGAATAAAAACATAGATTTATAGTTTAAATAGAAGTTTTTAATTGAGTTTAATTCTAATTAGATTAGATCAAATCTGTTTTGATATTTTAACATTATTAGGCATTTGTTTCCTTTTTAACTTCTTTGAGTTCATTACCCTAAAAATAGAGAGCCTTATTCATTGTAATTCACAATCTTCAATATATGAATAAAGATTGATTTTTCCTATTGCCCTCAATTCTTCTCTTCGTGAAATACAAGGAACCTATCTACCCCTATGAAGTAGAGCCAATAGCGATTTTACCCGCTGAACTCAAACCACCTCCTTTCTTTATTAATCTTTGATCGTTCGTTAACAAGATATACGCGTCCTGCGTCAAAAACCCTAAATGAATGGTGCTTGGGTGGCTTCCTCAACTTATCCTGAGTGATTAACCTAGCTCATGGAAAGTGGACTCGTTTCTTAAGATAGCTAAGTCATTTTTATGCATCATAATGCCCATATTCAGCTCATAAATGTCTTCATGGAGCAATGACACTTTCTGGAAAAAAATTCTATAAAATAATTTCAGCAGAATTTTTTTTCAAAAGAATTGCTTTTAATCATTCAACCAATGATAAAGTTGAGAAAAATCTGGACATTAGTTAATATAGAACTTATTCAACTTCTCTTGTACATATGTATGCAAGCTAGTAGCTATCAATAATTTAATATCACAATATCTAACATATGCGTTTGATAACCTGCAAGAAACACATTCTATAATCTATTGCTCAAGCGTCAATACCAGGCTTAATAGACAAGAACGATTTTATCTGCCATATAACAATATTACCATTGGATAGGTATTTCTTTTTTATTACTTGGGTTGAAATCTTAAGTTGCCCGTAAAATTAATTAAACCTTTTCCAGAAATCATTACTCTTGATTCTTGAAATAGTAGCAACAATGGTCAACTTTTCACAACTTCACTATCTAAATTATGATATTGTGCAAATTATACATGAGATCTCTGCTTTGACGTGATTCAAATACTGCACTGAGAAAGGGAAAAAGTAGCAAAGAACTGCCACCTAAAGTTAATTTATAGTGAGCTAGGGTCAAGAAGAGAGAGAGAGACCTTCGACTTCTTCAGCCTAGATTTATTGTCAGCACACCAGGCCAGAGCTGGGGCCACCTCCTTCTCTTGAAGAGCAACGATAACCTTTTTTGCTTCATGAAAAACCTCTATATCAACAAGATCCTGCAGTAGATATATCAAACAACATTTAAATGCCAGCCTTTTGGTGTAACAGCAGTATGAGGCCCTTTAAGGAAATAAATTAGACAACTCATTCATTGCATGTTTGACCACTTTTCTAAATTCAAACAGTTATTCAAAGCAGAAGAAACAGCGTAATAGGAATAAATATGACATAGACATACTTCCAAGCAACAATAATATGTTAGTCACATCTCAGGAAATAAAAGATAGTGAAATCAGTCAAATTTAATGTTTACCAGTGAGAGATGAGATACATGATTCATTTCTTGATAGGGGAAAAATGCATAACAAAATCACAAGATGACTAGACCACCACTCACAAAGAAAAATGTTGCCGACAGAATTACCTGAATATTGCTGCTCTCTGCAAGCTTTGCAGCAGTTTCGTAGTATGACATGCGCAACATATAATCCACCAGTATCCGATTCAAACGGGTGCTATTCCACTCTGGCAAATTCTCAACATCTGCAGATTCTAAATGGTCTAGCCTAGCTCGGCATTTCTGTGCTTGCAAGTGTTCCGTCCGACTCCCCTCTTCCAACTGATTCACAATAGAAGTATATTACTATTCTCTATAAGTAAATAATTTAAATAAATAAAAATCAATTCCCTTCCCTGAACCTTCTTTACAAAATTTTGCTTTTGTCAATTCAGTTCACCTTTTACAAATTTTAGATGGAATGGCCAGCTCGTAATTTTAACAAATTTTAAGATGCTCATTCCATCTAAAACACTATAATACAATGTTGTCTATACTCCACAACTTGTCGGCTCTTCATAGCATTAGAGAATATTAGATTTTGATTGAGAGCATCAAATCTTGTAACAACATTTCATATTTTGATCTAATGAATTATCCTCCTCTGCCCGGGGTTTTTCCTTTCACATAAAATCTCGTGTTCTTGTGTTTGAGTTTATTTTCATATTATTGTATAATCTTGTTTATCTCTTAACACCAAAAACCCAACAAGACTATGGAAAACAAAGAGCAACGTGACTATGTGAGGATTGTACATACACGTAAACAGATTTACAATACCTTCCTTTTGAGGCCTTGCAACCTGGATACAAGAGAATTTAGTTGGAGAACAGCGTCATCGCGGGAGAGATCAGAATCGGCGGCCACGGATACGCCGGAGATAACGGCGGATACCTCTTTCTCGACGATACGATGGTTGGCGCGGATCGTCTTCTTGTAGTGCTCGAAGGGAACGCGGAGGAACTGATGTTCCAGTTTCAAGGACTCGGCCAGTTGGCCAATCTTTGATGATGGAGTTGTGGTGGCGGCAACGCCGATGCCGGCGGCAGGAGCGGTGCCGGTGTTGTTGCCGTTGGGAAGTTGCAGGTCGGTTTCCATCGATGATGACATCTTTCTTTATTATTCTACTGGAACAGTGGATATAGATCCGGAAATGGTGAAGGTAAATGGAAATTGAACAGCTGTCCGTACTTGGAAGGAATTTGTTAAGGGATCAATTTGGGGAGGAAAAATATTTGGCTAAGCTCTAAAAATTAAAATGTAAAATTCCTTTTATGAAAAATTAAGTACTTGTTTGGGCTCCATTTAATTTTAATAAATTTTCTCTTTCTTTTTTTTTCAATTACACATTTTTCAATAAAATAATAGTGAAAATTACAGTGGATGTCAAAATCTTGGTTTTTAGTTACAAAAATGTCATCTTTTTTAAATCATTGTAAATATGGTATTTTGTGATAAATTTGGACAATTTTGCCCGTCTGTAGAAATTTAATACCTTACTTGTCTTCCATTTAATGAGATGATTTGACAAGACAAAAATTATGTCAGGAAGGAGTTGTGTAAAGTTGAACCAAGACAAAGAAAAAAAGACGAAGGAGGTGGAAGCCAAATGGACCAAACGCGTCTCTCACCGAAATCATCCACCCTCTTTTTGGAATCGCCGACCTCACTCCCTACCGTGGACGACCACCAAGACGACCGTCACCGTCGACGATGAAGTGACCTCCATTGTCATTTGAATCGGCCGAAACTGAGCACAACGTCCAAGGGCCATCTTCTCCAGTGCGACTGCCAGAAGAACCGAAGATAGGCGAAGGTAAATCCTCCCATCTTCTGACCTCTCACTTGTTTCTTAGCCATTTTTTCATTTACAGTCAGAAAGTGGCGATAAGATGGTAGAAGTTTGTTTCCTTCGGTATAGTATATTTTGAGAATCAAAAAAATTTCCACTTTTAGAGTTTCGCAGTAGTAATATTAGATGTATAGTTTAAGGTAGAAAAAATTAGGATATGGTTTGTATTGAATATTGCTGTTGTTTGTGCTATTTCTCTGATTTAGGATCAATTGGCGTATGTCATTGTTTGCAACCCGACATACATGTTTCTTTGAACAAATGCAGAATACTGTAATTTTCACATATTTTTACTGGATCTTGTCATTTGAATTCCAGAAAAAAATATCTACATTTCCTACATTTTAGTATGAAACTATGTAGATTGCGTCCCTTCATTCTTCTTATTTCAGTAACATCATTTTCAGCTACACTACATTAGTGAATTCAGAAATGTGAAAATATATATGGAATTTTAATAGTTGTGATACGTGTAATCACATTTATTAGTTAAATATGTATTGAATCATATTCAAATTGAATGGATATCGTTTTTTTGTAATACAGTTTACAATGATAGATTTTATTATATCAAACATTAGTGAATTAAAGAGGATCTACGTTTAACATGTTGAATGGGAAAATGGTCAGCTAATTTCAATTGTGGAGATACGCTGAAGTGGAGTTGCATAGTTGAACATTGCAATAGGCTAGCATGTTGTGGGACATGACACTTTTAGCCAGTACAATGAGTTCTTTAGTTTGTACACTTTCTTTCTACCACATGGTATCTTTGATTCTCGGAGGCAACTCCGTATACAGTTTCGAAAATTCTTGATCACCATAACATGAAGCTGTTGAAAAGCCAATCTAGACTACTCACGCGGGAAAAATTGAATTGTTATTGAATTCAAATTTGTGAGTACAAAACAACTTTCGGGGTTGGCAACTTTCATAAGTTTGTGCAAACCCCTTATCTACAACTCTTTCCTTATATTTGTGAACTGTAATATGAGTTTTTTCCTTTATAGTAAATACTCATTTAAAACTAGCTGGCTTCCCTAATAAGAAGGTGTTGACTTATCTTGTATCATTCTTTTCAATGTCGTCATCCATCATAAGAAACTATTTTGTACGCTAGAATTAGTAGAGCATTCTGTATATTTCTTGAAACGTAATCACATGAAGATATATTTCTATTAATTAATGTAGAGGAAGAAGTCCATTTGTGGTAGGAAACAAATTTGAAAGTAGGATGCAAAGTCCAGGGATTACATTGAATTTGTTTAGTATTTCTATACTCAGTTCTGATTATTGCTTTTGTTGAGGAGAATCTATTATATTCATTCTCTAATAAACCTTTAGTTTCCGATATTGTACTTCTTGTACACACTAGACAAGAGCTATTACAACTGGAGAAAAAGGTGGAAGATCTTAACAAATGTCTAGAGAATCCTTTGGTCTGGTATGGAGGAACATAAAACACAAAAACCCCAAGAATATAACTTATTAGTTGCACTTCAAAAATATAAGAAGATTTAAAATTACTTGAAAGTTGAGACTGAACATTAAAATGAGAAGAACAAGAAATTGAAAATAAATTTTACATATCTTGATTGCCACTGAATATAACCTATTAGGTGCACTTCAAAAACATGAGAAGATTTAGGATTGCTTGGAAATTGAGACTAAACATTAGGATGAGAAGAACAAGAACTTGAAAATGAGTTTTACATATCTTGATTGCCACAGAAGATAAGTTTTCATAAACGCCAAAGTACTCTAAAGAAGGAAAATGACAAGTGCCAATAGTTTTTCGGGTTGGAGAAATGAAATTATTTATAAGATTTTCTACTGAAGAAGATGACAACAAACACACCAAAAATGATTCAGTATGGATATGTATGTGAATATGCTGCAACAATGAATTGGAATGGAATGGATTTTTCACTTTCTTTCTTCCAACCATACAGGGCTGTGCTGAGAGATATTTTTGAGATATTTTTTGTCCTTGTTATTCAAAGACTGACTCATTAGACGAACAGGTAATATTGTAAGTGAAAATTTTCTTTGATTTTACTGCTCTATTCCTTCTTTTGTTAAATGATAATTACGGTATGATTTTCTTACAATTCATGGGTTTATGTTATGCGTTGTGTGAATGGGAGCAGCCTCATTTTTGGGCATTTTATTTTTGTATTACAATATTTGAGATGGTCAAGCTCATTTCTTTATTGCTCTATTTTTTGTTTTCTTGATATCGTGGTATTTGTTAACATGTTCTTGTTCCAACTTAATGTCAGCTCTTACTTATGGAAGCAAATGTATTTGGAAAATATGTTTTTCATTCCTTACATGCACGGTTTCAAGTCTTAAGTGCTGGTGGTTTTAATTACGTCTTATTACACGCTCAAACCTTGCATTCATCTCGAAGTCATGGTGATCTCATTTGTTGTCCTTGCGTGTCTCCTGTGTTCACTTGCACAGCTCACTGTAGAAGGCAGACCCAACTCCCAATGAACTGTCGTCCCCAACACTTCACCTCAATTTTTCTCGACGCTTAAGCTAACCTTCATGCATGTTTGGAGATCTATCGGTATCGATAGATCATCTGTTGGTACCGACAGTTGAAACCAGTTTTCTCGACAGTTCACTGTGTCCATGCATGAGTTTGCTTCATTAAACTACTATTTATGATACAATATGTTTATGATTATCATGTAACCCCAGTGGATTTTTTGAATGCACCTTGCAGGACAGAGGACAGATGGAGTTTGATTTTTGTATTTCGAAAGATGCAAGGTTGCGGGTCCATATTTCGTAACGGAGCAACCTGATGTACGTAAAGACCGTGATGGACCATTTCAACGATCGACAACGCGAGGACTTTCGCAACTCCCCCTTTGGGTATCTAGCCGAAGTTCCAGAAATTCAATTCTCTGCACAACTCATCCAGCAGCTAGTGTTCAGAACCATTTGCACTGATAAGGTTAACAAGCTTTGGTTCAACGTGCAAGGCAATCTGATGAAATTCGACCTACAGAAATACACTCTTGTGACGGGGTTAAGATGCGGTGTATTCCCAGAGGGTGATGACTTCGATCGAGTGTTGGAGAGGAGAATGTTGAAAGAGAGGTGCTTCAAATCCCTGGACAAGATTTCGTTGGTGCAACTCCGGACTACTTTTGCCCACCCTTCGGCGACCCGAGCTGATCGCTATAAGCTAGGGCTGGTTTTAATAGTCGAAAGAGTTTTCAATGCCCCCGATAATAATGTTGGTATCCAATTGTGTACGCTATCTATTGTAGATGACCTAGACTTATTTTTTCCCTACTCTTGGGGTAGAGTCGGTTATCGACGTTTGTTGCAAGGATTCCGGGATTTTTGGGCAAAAAAATGTCAAAAAGCGAAGAGGAGACAGGAGAAGGAGATTACGTACACGATTCAAGGCTTTCCCATTGCCATGCAGGTACATATGTTTTAAATATTATTGTATCATGCTTGATTTGTTTGCCCTCCTGTAGCATCGTGCCTACAATCTCAGTTATTTTTATTGTATTTGTCTTTTTACAATAAGTATGGGCCTACAAGGCAGTTCCTGAGATTGGGAACGTTTTGGTCAGCGAGTTGGTGAACGAATGCCACGATTGCATAGCTAGTCCACACGATAACAACCACAGCATCGTACGTACAATGCGTTCTTCAAGAATGTGCATGCATGTATAGAACATGTGTTTGTTTCGTTATTCACGTTTCGTGTCAATCTTGTACCTTTTCCTTTCTAATGTATAACCCTACATTGCAGCTGCATGTGTACGGCACACTTTGTCCCACCGATGCTGAGGCTGAATAGCAGTATTTTTCCACTCTCATGCCGTACGATGATCTCTCGGTGCCCGTTTTAGATAACATTGCCTAGACTGTTGTTGAGACACAGTTTAATACATCACACGCTGGCAGTGGAAGTGGCGACCAGTTGGCGAGGGAGGATTCCGACGACGGAATCTCCAGTGAAGAAAGTGCTGATGATGAGACGTCTGGAGATGATGATGGAGATCGACAATCAGGCAGTGATCGCGACGGTGATGATACCCAGGATAGTGGCGAGGGCGCCAGTAAGCGATCCAGCGATGGTGAGGATACCCGCAGAGGACAGACGGGTGCGTCTTCCACACCTCGGGCACCACACGTTTCTCTCCAGTACGAGGGCCGACGATGGAAACATGGCCAGTTGGAACATCTGGATCAAGCCTCACCAGAGGGGAGGTGGAAGAGCTGTTGTTAGACCAAAGAATCCTCCTTGAAATGCGACTCTGGACCGTAAAGCTTGAAATCGAACAGCACGTGACGTCAAAATATAAAAACTTCGAGATTTCTTAGCTACCCTCATGGCCCTAGCTGGTCC